CATATAATAAATAATATTTAATAATATATAAATGTAACGGACGTAATAAGTTATTATTGTAACAATATATATATATATATATATATATAAAATTACACCACTACAATTTATTAAAAATTTTTCTTCATTTTTTAATTATAATAATTTAATTACTTTTTTTATAATGAAAAATTTTTAATAATATTAGTGATATTAATTTTATAATTTAGTAATATTAATTTTTTATTAGGAGACGATTAATAAAGGTTAAATAATTAATATGATAATTATTGCTTACATTACAAAACATTGACATTGTCATAGGGAATATCTTCCCAGCCGTAATATGAAAAGGTTTGTTAGTTCGAATCATTATTAAAAGTAAGTTTTTCATCTCTTTTGGCTCCAATTTATACCATTTATGTTCATACGTTGCATGATATATATTTTCACACTTTATTCAAATAACAATTAAATGAAACAATTTATGAAATTCTTTCAAATATAAAATTTTTCTTATATTTTTAATGTATTTATACTTACTTGTGCTATCAGAATCTCACCTACCGCGCAAAATAGACACATATGACAACAAATGTTCATCGCAACAGATACAAGATATAAAAAACGCATTAGTGACATCTTTTTTCCTTCTGTGAGTATCTAAACAATTAATTAAGCAATATTGCACAAAAGTACATTTATACATCAAAATACATTTATACATTAATTATATTTTTGCAAAAAAGATAACTTTAGTGTATTTCATTGAATTTATTTTATTATAATTTTATTTTATATAATAGTTTTATGTTTATTTTGATATATGATTGACTGAAAGAAATATTATTCAATAATTTTATTTTCAATCTTTATTTTATAAGAATAAAATTATAGAATTTTTTTTTAAAACTTACTGCAAGAATTAAAAATCCGTATAAACAGAATAAAATGCCGAAATAGATTAGTAGCCCAAGTAATAATAGAGTAAACGTATTTTCAATAATATCAAAACATCTAAAAAAAAAAATTTCAGAAAAGAAAAGAATGTCATTAGTAAATATTATATTTTAAAATATTTATATTTATTAAAAACTTTGATTTTATAATTGTATACAACCGTACAAGATATCTTGTATAAGAAATTTTACATTATAAATTTTTAAAATAATAACTTTACTTTAAGAAAATGCTTAGTTGTTTAGAAATCAAATTTAATCATTTTTAATGTTAAAAATATTAAAATTATTACTTGATTAGTCGTATGTGATCCTTCACGATAAAGGCCAAACCTTTGTTATAGTTTTTAAATTGTTCTATATTAATCAATTTTTCTTTAAGATTTTCCATTTGCCCGCATAAATGAAATACTAATAATCCGAATAAAGTATCCACGCCGCTATAAGACGCAAAACACATTAAGATCAGAAAAATCTGTGCAACAAATGTGAATTCGAAATATGGACTTTTATCTTTGTCATATATGTAATAGGTTTGTAAAGGTAAGATCTTAATTGGATCGGTGATATTTGTCAAGTATCTCACAGATTTTCCAAACAAAGGTAGAATTATGATTAAAGCTATTGATAAAATCATAAAACCATATCCGATCATTGTGAGGATTCGAGCATTCTGGGCGTGCTTTATCATGATATGTCATTCTTTATCAGTCTTGCTTTTTATCCAATCCTCAGCAATCATATTTATAATTACTGCAAGATCTTTAAAATGAAGGATTGTTTTATTGGACAGTATATAAAAATAAAAGTAAAAATACAAGAGACAGAGTTAGAATTAATTTAGAATAGAGTAAATTAGAATAGAGTAGAGATAGAATTAATTTAATATATAAATATGAAGAATTTTTCATAATGTTCTTTTTCTTAAAATTTAAATTTTAATGTGCATAATGTTCTTTTAAAGAAAATATTATGCATGATTTTAAAGGTAAAATCTGAACTATTACTATATTATTGTGATAATTTACAGTTTGAATTTAAAAGAAGAGTTTTAATAATAATTAATTTTGTATACATATAACATACACATTTAACATACACACGTTATGTATCCTACCTCTTTTTCTCCACCATACAATGACAAGTTTCAACATTGCCATTATCATCGGTAAAGTATATTGCAGATTGTCTATTATTAACATCATGTCACCCCAAGTTCTCATTAGCGAATGTATCGCAGGAATTATACCAATAAAAAGGAGAACGATAAAAGTAAACATTGCACGCAAGTTTGATAAAAATTTATCATAGGTATTTTTGTGCATACTCGGCCAAATTCCAATATAATTCAGTATGAGGCGATTCAAGTGAGTGGCCCATTCGAAATCTATCTAGACAAATAATTTAATTTTTGATTGATAGTAAAATGCATGGCGCATTGTGAATTTAAATATAGAGAAGACCGGGGATAAGTCGGCATAAACATTGGTATAAACGTTGGCATACATTTGATATAAAAATGATATAAACGACTAATTATTATATTTATGTCATAAAAACATTATTTAACGTTTTTTCTTATGATAAGTATCTCAAAATCTAACATAATCAACTCATTCATAGTATCAATCGGATTTTCTTTAATATTTCAGAAATTGAATTTAATTAAATTTTTAACTTGTAGTAAATTTAACTTGTGATAATTGTTATGGAACTTCTTAATCACTATTATAATTATTTATAAAATTTATTAAATTTATTAAATAAACAGTTAATTATTTAATAGCCAAAATAATGATAAAATTATTTTAATAACTATTATAAATTTTACATTTTTTTTATTAAAAAAAGAAATATTTATATTTTTTATTGATTTTATATTTCAGTTTTTTTTAACAAACTTTTCTTAATATTCTTAATATTCTAGAAAACTGATTTAATATTTTAATTGTATTTTAACATAATATAAGTTATGACATTGGATAGTTTGAATATTGAAAATGAATTATTTATTATATTAAAAGAACGTAAAGAATATATATACTCTAATAATTTCAATATTACAACGATATGTTATTCGGACATGTTATATTGTCATTAATATAATTATCGCATGTACCTGCATATTTATTGGACTCGATGATATCCATGTTGAGACTAATAAAGTTTTACTCTTCCGCACGAAGAATATATCCTATAGACTCTTAGGAATGGGAATTTTTTTCGCATATAATTTTGCACGCTTTGTAGATGTTCTTGGATATAGAATAACGTGAATGTTACAAACATCGATTTACACACCAACGACTAATATATAATTGTCAGGTGCTACAGTTTCATAATAAAGCAAAAAAGAAAAAGGAAATGGAAAAGAACTAAATAAATAATTAGATATGATAGGGTCGCAGCTATAATAAATGTTACATTTATATTATATGTTGCAAATTTAATAATAATTATTAAAAAAGATATAAGTTTATTAACTATACGGTTTATTATTATAACGAAGAGTAAATTTAATTAAAGTCGTGTAATAAATTAAGAAACAGATATATTATCTTGTGTTATAACAATATTTTCCGAATTTTTATTTTTTTTAAATTTTTTGGAAATTATTTTATTATCAATTTATCTCGAACATAATCTTTTGAGATTTTCGATTTGTTCTTATTTCTAAAAATCAGCGCTGTCCGTCCCTGTTCTCTATATCTATCTCAAGTTTTACAATTTATCTGAAATGTACGATATAACGATCATCAACAGTTGCAGTAAAGTTTTCGCTAGAGTAGTGGTATTTAGAATTTTAACATTTTCCTCCCTTATATCATCCCTTCTCTCTATTCAAATAACGATGAGACATGCGCATTCTGGGGGTGCCTTCTAATGTTACGATCCACCACTACTACCACCACCACCACCACCACCACCACCATCGGGACCGTTCGTCCACTCATGCGCATAATATTTATTGTTGCGGCAGTATCCTGTGGTAGCATGGTGGTGATGGGTGTTTCGTGTCGCGCTCGGACGTGAGCAATATAGTTACTCGGCTTTTAATATCTTTCAACACTTGTGTTTATAGTTAACGTTATATATAGTTGACCTTTTTTAGCATTTTAAAAGAAGTGCGATGATTGTTATTATACAAATAATTTTGTAACATACATTTTATAATTTTACAGATTAATAATGTTATAATTTGTCATTTGTGAAATAAAGTGTTTAAAAGAAAATAATGTTGATAGTTCTAAGTTGTAGTGTTAAAGTTCTATGTAGTGTTAAATGTTATATTAATAGTTCTATGTAATGTAAAATAATGTTAATAGTTACTATGTATGTTTCCATAATTTATGTATATAGTAATGGTAAGTGAAAATTTTAATGTACGTTTTTGGCAAGTTGGAAGGCTATATATATGAAATTCATGAATTTTGATGCATGGTATCAAAGCATTAACAGAATTAATGGGTAAGACTTAAAGCGCACATCATTACACGTCATGTATAATTTGCGCAAGAAATAAGTCCTACAAGTTTTACCTTATATTTTTAGGTTACTGCTGTCAAATCTAACATAAATAATTGACAGGTTGATTGCGAGTTGTTTTTCTTTTTTATAACCACAGAAATATTATCATTAACATAAGAAACATAAACTGTCATGCAATATCAGCACGTATTCATATATACACGATTCATGTTAAAAATTTTTATAGCGTTTTTAATTTAAAAAATTATATTAATTTTAATTAACTATAAAAATAAAATTGTATATCTTAACTTTTTGCATTAACATAATATTACAATTACACTATTATTTTTATTTATTTCAAAAGTATTTTATTAAATTAATATATGTATTCTTTTTTTGAATATATATATGCTTTATTTTATATATATATATATATATATATATATATATAATATATATAATAAATATAATAT